TTTTGAGTGACTGGAGGCTGGTGACCAGCGGTGTACCACAGGGATCAGTGATGGGACACTTACTGTGTGTTATATATATAAGTTATATAGATGAAAATGTGGGGGGAATGTTAATCAAATTTGCAGATGACACCAAGGTTGGTAGATTGGTTAATAGTGGAGAAGATGATTGTAGGTTACAGCAAAATACAGATGAGTTGGTCAGATGGGCAGACCTGTGGCAAATGGTATTCAACACTGATAAGTGCAAGGTGATGCATTTTGGAAGAAGAAAGAGAATGAAGGAGTGTTTAACAATTGGTGGGACACTGGGTAGCTTAGAGGTAAAAGGGATTTTGGGGTAATTGTTCACAAATCTCTGAAGTTGGCAGACCACGTGAATAGGATAGTTAAGAAGGCATATGGGACACTTGCTTTCATAAGTTGTGGCATACAGTATAAGAACAAGGAGGTAATGATGAAATTGTACAGAACGTTGGTCAGGCAACAACGGTAGTACTGTGTACAAAAAACAGAAGTTGCTGGAAAGGCTCAGCAGATCTGGCAGCATCTGTGAAGAAAAAATCAGAGTTAATGTTTCGGGTACAGAGACCATTCCTCAGTACTGTGTGCAGTTCTGGTCACCTCACTACAGGAAGAATGTGTTAGCACTAGACAGGGTACAGAGGAGGTTCACCAGGATGTTGTCTGGGACGGAGAAATTGAGTCAGAAGGAGAGACTAGATCAGCTTGGAATTTTTTTCTTTAGAGCAGAGAAGACTGAGGGGAGACATGATTGGGATGTATAGGATTATGAGGGGTATGGACGGGGTGAATAGAGAGCAGCTGTTCCCCTTGGCTGAGGGGGCAATCATGAGAGGTCATAGTTTTAGGTAAGGGGCAGGAGATTCAGAGGGGATTTTGGAAAAAACTTTTTCACTCAGCTGGTAGTAGAATTCTGGAATGCACTGCCTGGGAATATAGCGGAAGCTGGAAAGCTTACAACCTTTAAAAAATATTTGAATGAGCACTTAAAATGTCATAACATTCATGGATATGAAACACTTGCAGGAAATTGGGATTAGCACACTGTTAATGATAGCTATGTTGGTGCAGGCTTGATGGTCCAATGGGCCTTTTCTGTGTTGTATGAATCTATGGAACTGCATAAATCAGGTCTTCTATATCTGTCAATATTGATTGGAGATCATTGCTAACAATAGAGAAGGAGAACATAGGTACAGAACTTGGGGAGGGGACTATGAGGAGCTTGAGCAGTTTGACATAGAGAGTGAGGAGGTTATAGAATCATAGAGCCATTGAGTTATGCAGCACAGAAACAGGCCCTATGGCCTGTCAGATCTATGCTTATCAACAAACATGAAACCACACTCGTCCAATTTATTTACACCTGATTATAGCCTACTGTGCCCAGGCATTTCAAGTGCTCATCCAGTTACCTCTTAAATGTCGCAAGACCACTGCCCTATTAGAGGCTTTGGTGAATTTAAAAATGGACAAGTCCCAAGGTCCTGGTAAGTTATAGCTCAGGCTGCTGTGGGAAATGAGGGAGGAAATTACAACGGCCCTGACATAAACTTTTAATTCCTGTCTAGTCTTAGGGGAAGTGCACTGTACTGGAGGGATGCTATTGCAGTTCTACTTTTCAAGAACCTTAACCCTAACCCAGAAAATTGCAAATAATTAGAAATGTGAGTCTCACATCAGTAGTAGGAAAACATTGGAGAAAATTCTGTAGAGAATTAATCACCATTTGGAGAGGCAAGCTTTGGTCAGGGATTGTCAGCGTAGGTTTATCAGAGGGAGGTTATGCCTAATAAACTTGATTGAATTTGGATGAGGGCAGTGCTGTTGATGTAGTTTATATGGATTTCAGCAAAGCCTTTGAGAAGGTCTCACATGGGAGACCAATAGTGAACGTAAAAGCATTTGAGATCCAGGAGAATTGGGCAAGTCCAAAATTGGTTTAGTGGCATGAGACAGTAAGTAGTAATAAAAGGTTGCTTGTGTCAGTAAGCCTGGAGTCCAGTTACGTACCATAAATATTGGTGCTGGGAGGTTGATTGTGTGAGATAGATGTAAATCATATAGAAGGAAATGCGGGGAGGAAGATCGCAAGGTTTGCGGATGACATGAAGATTGGCCGGGTGGTTGCAGTGAGAAAGAAGGTGTTAGGTTACAGGAGGATGGATTGGTCAAATGGACCGATCAGTGGAAGATGGAATTTAATCTTAACAAGTGTGACATGATACACTTTGGAAGAAGGAACAAAGCAAAGGAGTATTCAATGAATGGCAGGATATTAGGAAGCTCAGAGGAACAAAGGGATCTTGGGGTGTTTGTCCACAGATCCCTGAAAGTGGAGGGACAGGTTAATAGGGTGGTTAGGAAGGCATATGGGCCACTTGCTTTTATCAGTTGTGGCATAGATTACAAAAGGAGAGAGATTATGTTGGAGCTGTATAAGATTTTGGTTAGGCCACAGCTGAAGTACAGTGTGTCGTTCTGGTCACCAGACGGTAAGAAGGATGTGATTGCACTGAAATGGTTGCAGAAGAGATTCAATAGGATCTTGCCTGGGATGGAGCATTTTAGCTATGAAGAGTCTGTTTCTATGCTGTATGACTCTATGATTCTATAAGAGAGGTTGGGTAAGCTCATATTGTTGTCTTTAGAGCAGAGATTTCTATAAATTTAGAAGCTTAATTCTGAAAAAGTCAAAAAACCTGTCATAGATGCTTTCTTTTATTAATTATATAAGATGTACTGCTTATTAAATCAGTTGCATTGGATATAGTGGACTAGAAGCTGGAAGCACGTTGTATTACTTTGGCAATTAGGATGAATTTTGCATTTCTACACCACTAGAAGAGGATATTTCTAAATACAGACATGCATTTGAAGGAAATAATGATACAAAAGTAAATTATAGATTCTCCAACTCAACGCTCCTGTCAGAATAGATTTTCCATTGCAAGGCAGGATTGATAGATTTTTCCAAACATCACTGAGGTAATTCACCATTGCCTTCTCAAACATGATTCAAGATGGGCGTTAAATTCTGGGTACTGCCTGTAATACTTATGTCCTGTGAACAAATGAAAGAGAATTGCACAGCATGTTGAAGAGTATTTAATTTATATACCTTAATATTGTGTTTGGAATTTGGATTTCAAAATAAACACAGATGGATGTTGATTACTTCTGTGAAGAATTCCCGACCCGAAACATCAACTTTCCTGCTGGTCTGATGCTGCTGGCCTGCTGTGTTCCTCCAGCTCCACACTGTGTTATGGCTGATCTGTGGCCAAGGTCAATCTACCTACTTTTGGCCCATATCCTTAATACCTTTGCTTCACAAAAGAAAATGATCTATCTCAGATTTAAAATGAACAACTGATCCAGTATCCACTGTCATTTGTGGAAGAGAGTTCTAAACACCCACCATCCTTTGTGTGTAGAATTTCATCCGAACATAGTCTGGACCTAATTCTCAGGCTATGCCCCTTAGTTCTAGAATTTCTAACAAGTGGAAATAGTTCACCTTTATCTACTGTCTTTTCCTTCTAAATTCTAGACAAGACAAGCATAATTTGTATAATCTCTACTCATAACTTAACCCCTGAAGTCCAGGTATCATTCTTGTAAACCTTTGTTGTACTCCCTCCAAGGTGAATATATTCTTCCTAAAGTGTGGAGTCCAAATCTGCTCACAGTACCCCAACTGAGGTCTAACCAATATTTTATTCAACAGCAGTATAACTTCTGCATCCTTGAACTCCAGTTCCAGTTTTGTTTTTTAAAAAAGATCAGTGTCCTGCAGGAGCAATGATTAAGTTCAGCATTTGTCATAAAGCAGGTGACTGTACACCCTTGTGGTTTTAATGGAAATATGTTCATACTGATGGGTTTACAGCAAGTATAGCAAACTTGCATTGCCATTAAATTTATTTTCAGTTCAGAGCAAGATTTATAATTAGTTGAGAAGACACCAGGGTTGAGTTCGAGGCTGAGTTTCGTTTCTGTCTTAGAAAGAGTTCAAGGCAGTTCAGAGAACTAGTCATCTCAGTAGAAGGATTTAGGTGGTAAAGCTTCCAAACCAGGCCCTCAGATTTATGGAAACTTGGTGTTGGTAGCTTTGGAAAGGACTCATTGGATTGTCTCTACAATCCACAGTAGAGAAATCATTAGATAAGTGGAATCCTAAACAGCTAAGATTAGGTAAAATCTTTCTGGAGTTGAGCCTCTGTTATGGATAGTGCCAGGAAACAGGTTGAAACATTGTTTTGTTGTATATGTTACAACAATCTTCTATACTTAGAAAACTTGTTTTTGATCTTTTATTGAAGAAAATCTGCAGCATTGTGTGAATATTTTCAGTGAGTGGACCACATTTATTAACTAAACATAAATACACGTGGTCTATCAAGGACAAGTTCCCTTCAAGGATCTGACTTGTCTAGTAATACCCTCAGCTGACAGCATAGCACAGCAAAACCTGGGGTAGATTGGTGTAAATGTAACTTTATTTCTTTTCTTGGCTGTGCACTCATATTTTGGAGTGTAATCTATAGACATTACAGTGCTTTTTTTTATTCCTGAGATGTAAACATGACTGCCCAGCTCATCAATTATACTACATCTGTAATTTTTAAAATTTGTTCTCAGGAAGTGTGTGTCACTGGTTAGGTCAGCATTTATTGCCCATTCCATACTGCTGTGAGTCTGGAGTCACATGTAGGCCAGATCAGGCAAGGACAGCAGATTTGCTTCCCTAAAGAACATTAGTGAACCAGATTGGTTTTTATGACAGTAGTTATACTGTCACCATTAGACTGGCTTTTAGTTCCAGATTTTACTGAAGTCAAATTTCACCATCTGCCACAATGGAATTTGAACTCAAGTTCCCAGAACATTAGCCTGAGATTTTGGGTTTCTAGTCCAGTGACACTACACCAAACCTCCTGCTCCCTCCCTGCTAACCAGTCTCTGCTTCCACAAATTGGTCTTGAAAGGGTGATGGTGAACTAAATCATTTAGAGGGCAGTTAAAGGCAGCCATGTTGCCGGCAATCTGGAGTCACACATAGGCCACACTAGCTATAGGTAGCAGCTTACCCTCCATAGAGGGAACTAGTGAAGCAGAGAGGTTTTTAACAACAAATTGACAATGTAGTTTCATGATTATTGGTAATGAAATTAGCCTTTTATTTGTAATGTATTCATTAACTGAACTTGTTCTGGAGTATGAATAGAAACTCTGGATTACTCGCCAGTAACATTATTCCTATGTTATTGTCCTAGGTAAACATGTGGATAACATTCACAAAAATTACAATTGTGAGAATGAAGACGAGGATGAGCTCCATCGTCAAAAGAAACAGCAGACTCCAGTGTCACTTGGAAGTGAGCAGCAAAAATTTGCTTAATAGCTAGCAGTTTACATCAAATTGAGTTACCTGCAAACAGAAAAGGAATGTACTTAGCAAATAAACTTAATAATATTCCCTGCTAATGCTTCAAAATAGTAGCTCACCTGCAGCTTCTTTCCATTGGAGGTGAAGATCCATCATAAAAACTGGGTCATCAATTTCTCTGAAAAACCTCTTGAGAACATCAGTGACATCCTCAATGAAGTGTTCCCCTGTCCTCAGCTTCACGTTCCTGGCATCTTTTCGAAACTCATCCATCAGGAGTTTGATGCGTGACTTGGCTCCATTTTTCCTGTAAATCCCCTCATGCCGCAGACCTGTGAGGAACAGCAAGGTTGGTTACACTGAGATCCACCAATCAGCAACACCTTATCGTGGATTTGATCCAAGTCAATAATTGGAGAGAACCCAGTCTATAGGCAATGTGCAAAATAACTGTACGGATTTCTGATTACCACACCTTGGGAAGCATATGAATATTATAAAGTCATACAGCATAGAAACAGGCCTACAATGTCACTGCTCCCCAACAAACACCAAACTACACTAATCCAACAGCCTACTATGTCCTGGAATCTTAAGTACTTGTCCAGATGCTTCTTAAATATTGTGACAGTACGTGCCTCCATCACCGTCTCAGGCAACACTTTCCATATTTGTACTAGCGATCTACATAGATCTTTGTATCCCCTTTAGCCACAGGCAAGGTCTCAGAGAATAGTCAATGTTGTTCTTCTTTTTTAGAAAGGAAACACGGATAACTCAGGAAATTATAGGCCGGTGAGCCTTCCATCAGTAGTAGGGAAATTACTGAAGAAGATTCTTAGGGACAGGATTTAATCACAGAATGAACTTATTAGGGATAGTCAGTTTGGTTTTGTGTGAGGGAAGTCTTGTCTCACAAACTTGATTGAATTTTTTTTCAGGAAGTGAAGAAGGTGATTGATTAAGGTAGGGCAGTAGATGTTGTCTACATGGACTTTGCTAAAGCATTTGACAAGTTCCCTTACGGTAGGCTGGTCCAGAAGATGAAGTCCCATGGAATACATGGTGAGTTGGTAAGTTGGATACAAAATTGCTTCAGTCATTGAACACAGATAGTAGTTGTGGAGGGGTGTTTTTCTGACTGGAGGTCTGTGACCAGTGGTTTTCCATAAGAATCAGTGCACTGTTATTTCTATTATATATAAATGGTTTGGATGAAAATGAAGGTGGTCTGATTGGAAAGGTTGAGAATCACACAAAAATTGGTGGAGTTGTGGATAGTCAAGAAGCCTGTCAAAGAATACAGCAGAATATAGATCAGTTGGAAAGTTGGGCAGAGAAACGGCAGATGGAGTTTAATCTGGACAAGTGTGAGGTGATGCACTTGGGAGGTCAACTGCAAGAGGAAAGTGTACACTAAATGGAAGGACCATTATGAGCATTTATATGCAGAGGAATCATGGAGTCCAGGTGCATTGTTCCCTAAAAGTGACAACACAAATGTGTAAAGTGGTAAAGAATGCATTTGGCATGCTTGACTTCATCGGTTGGGGCACTAAGGATAAAAGTTGGCAAATCCTGTTGCAGCTGTATAAAACTTTAGTTAGGCCACATTTGCAGTATTATGTGCAGTTCTGGTCACCACACTATAGGGAGGATGTGAAGACTTTGGGGAAGGTGCAAAAGAGGTTTACCGTTATGTTGCCTGGATTGCAATGTTTTGGCCATAATGAAAGGTTAAACAAACTCAGATTGTTTACACTTGAATGTTGGAGGCTGAGGAGTGACCTGATAGAAATATATAAAAGTATGAGAGGCATGGATAGGGTGGATAGTTGGAGTCTTTTTCCCAGGGTGAAAATGTCAAATACTAGGAGCATAGTTTTACGGTGACAGGGGAAAAGTTTAAAGGAGATGATGGTAAGTAGCTGGAACGTGCTGCCAGGGGAATTGGTCAAAGCAGATATGATAGCAATGTTTAAGAGGCATTTAGACAGACACATTAACAAGCAGGGAATAGGGAGATAGGTACCATGTACAGGCAGATGGGATTAGCTTAGAAGACAACATGTTGGCGCAGACATAGAGGGCTGAAGGACTTGTTCCTGTGCTTTACTTCTATTTCTACCACTCTGTGTGAAATAACATTTTCTCAGATATCCATTTGCTTCTCACCTTAAACTTATGCTCTCTGGTCCAAGACACTTTCCATCCCAGGCAACATCTTGGTGAATCTCCTCTCCTTTCTTTTTAGGTGCAATCATGTACTTCTGATAGTATGGCAACCAGAACTGCACATAGAATTCCATCTGTGGCCTAACCAATGCTTTATGAAGTTGTAACAAGACCTCCTTGCTCCTATATTCTATGTCAGAAGTTACATAACACCTTGCCCTTCACTCTTCGAGGGGAGATTTGTTCAAACTGTGAAAAGGCACAGGAGGAATAATTCTCTGTCTGGGAGAGTCTAGAAGCAGTATACATAGATTAAGAATACAGGGCAAACCATTTATAACTCAAGTGAGGATGAATTTGTTCACTCAGAAGGTGATGAGTTTTTGGAATTGTCTGCCCAGAGGCCATTGAGAATATTCAAGGTTGGAAAGGATAGATTTCTACAAATAAAAATTGCATGGAATATAGAGATGGTGTAGGAAAATGATATTGAAGATCAGCCAAGTTAGGCAGAGCTGACAAGAATGGCTGGATGGCCTCCTCCTTTTTCCGATGTTTTTATATACTTAAATGCTCAGGATTATGACAGATGTAGACGAGGAAAAACTGTTCCAATTAGTTTAGACAAGGGATAGGGACATCAGGTGAGTTTCTGATGATGTGATAAGGCAAATAGCTCAAGTCAAGAAATTTCCAGAATTTTAAAAAATATCCTGGAAAGCATACATTTTGCAACAGGAACAAAAACAAAATTGCTGGAAGAGCTCAGCAGGTCTGGCAGCATCTGTGAAGAAAAAAATTAGAGTTAATGTTTCGGGTCCGGTGACCCTTCCTCAGAACCCAAACCGGACCCAAAATGTTAACTCTAATTTTTTTCTTCACAGATGCTGCCAGACCTGCTCAGCTTTTCCAGCAACTTCTGTTTTTGTTCCTGATTTACAGCGTCCGCAGTTCTTTCGGTTTTGCCACAGGGTGTTGGGTATGTGATAGAGTTGGGCTCACTAACATGGTCAGCTGAAGGGCATGTTTCTGTATTGTATGGCTCTCTAACTGGCCCCAGAGGCAGAACATAATTGGCCATGTAGAGAGATGAAAGCAGAACTAGGTTACTGCAAGGCCCAGTTTCTTTGTAAGTTGTTAAATTCTCTAGACTTCATGAGCTTCGCAAATGTGAGAGGAGATTTGGAGAGGTGCTTGGTAATGCCTCTAGATCAGTAATCAAGATTAACGCTCAAGGGTCAGATGTTCAAATCCTACCAGAAGAGATGGGGAAATTTTAATCTGGAAAAAATATTTAAACTAAAAGCTACTTTGATGATGACCATGAAAACATTGCCGATAATACACTATTTTTTATTCAATCACAGGACATGGGCATCATCAGCTAGGCAGCATCCCTAATTGCCCAGACGGTAAGAGTCACTCGCATTGTTGTGGTCTGGAGACTCATGTAGGCCAGACCAGGTAAGCATAGTATATTTCCTTCCCTGAAGAACATTAGTGAACCAGATGAGTTTTTGTGACAATCAGCAATGGTTTCACGATTATCACTCAACTCTTAATTCCAGACTTGTATTGAATTCAAATTCCACCATCTGCTGTGGCAGGATTCAAACCTAAAACATTACGTGAGTTTCCTGATTAATGCCTGATTCAATAATGGCCTTTAATTACAATTACAACAGATTTCAAACAGGTTCAGCAACTCAAGACAGGGCATCCATGAGATGTGATGGCACATCAGCAGTCACACAATCTACAACCTCTTGGCCCTATATATGCCCCACTCGACCATTATCATCAAGCCAGGGGATCAAACCTGGGACAATGGAGAGTGTTGGAGGGCACGCCAGGAGTAGCACCAGGCATACCTAAAACTAAGACATCATCCTGGTGAAGCTGCAAAACAGAACTTCTTGCACACCAAACAGCAGAGGCAGGAGGTGATAGAGCTAAATGATTCCACATCCACTAGATTGGATCAAAGCTCTGTAGTCCAGCCACTGCCGGTTGCGAATGGTCGAGGACAATTAAACAATTCATTGACGGAGGAAGCCTCACAAATATCGCCATTCTCAATGATGGGAGAGCCCACCATGTCATGCAAAAAGACAAGAAAATCTTCAACCAGAAGTGCAACCATAGTCCGTCTCAGCCTCTTCCTGAGGTCCCCAGCATCACAGATAATAGTCTTCAGTGAATTTGTTTCACTTTAAGTGATATCAAGAAATGGTTACAGGCACTGGATACTGCAAAATTTATTGTCCCTGACAACATTCTGGCAAAGTGAAGACTTGTGCTCCAGAACTTGCTGTTCCCTTGAGCAAGCTGTTCCAGTACAGCTACAAAATTGGCACTCACCCAACAATGTGGAAAATTACCCAAGTATGTCCTGCACGCAGAAGGCAGGACAAATTCATCCCGGCTAATTATCACCCATCAGTCTACCCTTGATCACCAGTAAAGTGACGGCAGGTGTCATTAAGAGCGCTACCAAGCAGCATCTGCTCAGCAATAACCTGCTCAGTGACGCCCAGTTTGGGTTCTGCCAGGGCCACTCAGCTCTTGACCTCATTCCAGCCTTGGTTCAAACATGGACAAAAAAACTATTTGATCGAATGTGGCATCGAGGAGCCCTAGCAAAACTGGAATCAATGGGACAAAAATAAAGTTGCTGGAAAAGCTCAGCAGGTCTGGCAGCATCTGTGAAGGAAAAAACAGAGTTAACATTTCAAAAATCTCAGAAGAGACATATGGGCCATGGTGTTTGGCACAAGGCTGTACACTGACCTGGATGTTGTTGGGGACATGGAGGTGGGTACAGGGCATTACAAAGCACAGATGGGGCATGGAGAATGAAGGGATAAAAGCATTTCATGTTTTAATCTTAATTTTTAAGCTTCAGCTACATTGTTGTAGCTCTGAAAATAGAAGATACCGTGGATACTTCCATATTTAACTTCGGGCAACAGCGATTTCCCCACCCCTGACAAATACTGGACTCAACCTGACTTACACAGTTACACAGAAATGACCCCAGAATAACTTTTGCACCTTCTGCAAAAGTGACAGCCTTCAGTTTAGTGCCACTCTCACCAGAGTCTGGCTTCAGTGCATAAGTGATTTATTTTTAAAATGTGAGTCCAAACTTCGCTTCAGTGGCCCCTTGTGTTGAAATTCACTCACCATACTGGGTGATGAAGGCAATGCAGCTGTCAACAATGATGGGGATATCATTTCTGCTGAGTTGTTGATCACTAAGGGCATTTCCTCGACTGCCTGCAGCTCTCTGAATATCACTACACCAAGCTGAATAATCCAGGCGTGTCACACCGTGCAGGTATAATGTTCTATAAATAAAGAGAGAGGGTTACATACCAAACATCAACTCATTATGATTCCACCTGGTATTACAACAGGGCAAGTCAAATTCCAGAATGAAATCTAGCTCAACTGATCATATTTAACACAGTAGGCTTTCACTGAAACATGAGCAGGCAATGCTGCTGCTATGTTTCAACAATAAAACAAAAGTTTATTACACAAAAGAAATAATAATAAAATTAACCAAACCAAGCCATCTAAATATAAGACAACTTGAAAAAATTTGTTAGAACAAAATCCCATCTACTCCCCAATACCATCACTTTACAATAAATCACAATCTAGAGACATTTTCCCTCCTTAACAAACCTATAGGTTTGACTGGACCTGCTTTTCCTTGGTTCCTGTCCTGTGAGCTGCAAAGTTTCTTCCCTCTAATACACTCACAATTGAGAGCTTAAACTTTCTCAGTCTTACAGTAATCTTCAAAGTTTGAACCAAACAGGCCTGGTCTGGACATTTCACAAACTATTCCCTTTTACTAAAGTAATTTATCCTTTTAACAGCTCTGAACAATGTCCTCTTCTGATGAGAATTGATAGTTGCATCTGACATGTCGGATCTCCTTCAAACTGAAATGAAAAGCTTATCCTAGATGCTGCGGTTTGCGAAAAGCTGATCCAGTTAATTTTTTTTTATTCATTTGTGGGATGTGGACATCACTGGCTGGCCAGCATTTATTGCTCATCCCTAGTTGTCCTTGAGAAGGTGGGGGTGAGCTGCCTTCTTGAATTGCTGTGGTCCACCAGCTGTAGGTTGACCCACAATGCCATTAGGGAGGGAATTCCAGGATTTTGACCCAGCGACAGTGAAGGAATGGCGATATATTTCCACATCAGGATGGTGAGGATCTTAGAGGGGAACTTGGAGGTGGTGGTATTCCCATATGTCTGCTGCCCTTGTCCTTCCAGATGGAAGTGATCGTGGGTTTGAAAGGTGCTGTCTGAGAATCTTTGGTGAATTCTGCAGTGCATCTTGTAGATAGTACACACTGCTGTTACTGAGCGTCGGTGTTGGAGGGAGTGGGTGCTTGTGGATATAGTGCCAATCAAGCGAGCTGCTTTGTCCTGGATAGTGTCAAGCTTCTTGAGTGTTGTTGGGGCTATAGTCATCCAGGCAAATGGGGTGTATTCCATCACATTCCTGGCTTGTGCCTTGTAGATGGTGGACAGGCTTTGAGGAGTAAGGAGGTAATTTACTCGCCGCAGTATTCCTAGCTTCTGGCCTGCTCTTGTAGCCACTGTGCTTATGTGGTGAGTCCAGCTGAGTTTCTGGTTAATGATAACTCCCAGGATATTGATAGTGGGGGATTCAGTGATAGTAACACCAGCGAATATCAAGGGGCGGTGGTTAGATTGTCTCTTATTGGTGATGGTTACAGACCTGGCATTTGGGTGGCATGAATATCACTTGCCACTTGTCAGCCCAAGCCTTGATATTGTCCAGAACTTGTTGCATTTGAACACGGACTGCTTCGGTATCTGAGGAGTCATGAATGGTGCTGAACATTGTGCAATCATCGGCGAACATCCCCACTTCTGACCTTATGATGGAGGGAAGGTCATTGATGAAGCAGCTGAATATGTTGAGCTGAGGAGACTACCCTGAGGAACTCCTGCAGAGATGTCCTGGAGCTGAGATGATTGACCTCCCACAACCTCGACTATCTTCTTATGTGTCAGGTATGACTCCAACCACTGGAGAGTTTGCCCCCGATACCCATTGATTCCAGTTTTGCTACGGCTCCTTCATGCCACACTCAGTCGAATGTAGCCTTGATGTCAAGGGCTGTCACTCTCACCTCCCCTCTGGAATTCAGCTCTTTTGTCCATGTTTGAACCAAGGCTGTAACGAGGTCAGGAGCTGAGTGGCCCTGGCAGAACCCAAACTGGGTGTCACTGAGCAGGTTATTGTTGAGCAGGAGCTGCTTGATAGCACTGTTAATGGCAATTTCCATCAATTTACTGACGATCGAGAGTAGACTGATGGGGCAGTAACTGGCCGAGTTGGATTTGTCCTGCCTTTTGTGTACAGGACATACTTGGCAATTTTCCACATTGCCAGGTAGATGCTACTGTTGTAACTGTGCTGGAACAGCTTGGCTAGGGGAGCGGCACATTCGAAAGCACAAGTCTTCAGTACTATTGACGGAATGTTGTCAGGGCCCGTAGCCTTTGCAGTATCCAGTGTCTCCAACCATTTCTTGATATCACGTGGAGTGAATCGAATTGGCTGAAGACTGGTATCTGTGATGCTGGGGACCACTGGAGGAGGCTGAGATGGATCATCCACTCGGCACTTCTGGCTGAAGATTGCTGTGAATGCTTCAGCCTTATCTTTTGCACTGATGTGCTGGGCTCTTCCATCATTGAGGATAGGGATATTTGTGGAGCCTCCTCCTCCAATGAGTTGTTTAATTGTCCACCACCATTCACAACTGGATGTGGCAGGACTGCAGAGCTTAGATCTGATCTGTTGTTTGTGGGATCACTTCGCTCTATCTATCCCTTGCTGCTTTCACTGTTTGGCCCTGTTTGGTTGCTTCACCAGGTTGACACCTCATCTTCACGTATGCCTGGTGCCACTCCTGGCATGCCGTCCTGCACTCTCCATTGAGCCAGGGTTGATCCCCTGGCTTGATAGTAATGGTTGAGTGGGGTATATGCCAGACCATGAGGTTACAGATTGTGCTGGAGTGCAATTCTATTGTTATTGATGGCCCACAGTGCCTCATGGATTGTCAGTCTTGATTTGCTAGATCTGTGCAAAATCTGTCCCATTTAGCACGGTGATAGAGTCACACAACATGATGGAGGTTGTTCTCAATGTGAAGGCGGGACTTTGTCTCCACAAGGACTGTGCGATGGTCACTCTTACCGATACTGTTATGGACAGATACATCTGCAGATGGCAGATTGGTAAGGATGAGGTCAAGCATGGTTTTCCTGCTTGTTGGTTCCCTCACCACCTGCCGCAGACCCAGTCTAGCAGCTTTGTCCTTTAGGACCCAACCAGCTCGATCAGTACTACTGCTGCCGAGCCACTCTTAGTGGTAGGACGTTGAAATCCCCTACTCAAAGTATATTTAGTGCTTTTGAGATCCTCAGTGCTTCCTAAGTGTTGCTCAACATGGAGGACAACTGATTCATCAGCTGAGGGAGGACGGTATGTGGTAATCAGCAGGAGGTTTTCTTGCCCATGTTTAACCTGAAGACATGAGACTTCATGGGGTCTGGAATCAATGTTGAGGACTCCCAGAGTGACTCCCTCCCGACTGTATCCCACTGTGCCACCCCCTCTGCTGGGTCTGTCCTGCCGGTGGAACAGGGCATATCCAGAGATGGTGATGGCAGTGTCTGCGGCATTGTCTGCAAGTATGATTCTGTGCATATGACTGTGTCAGGGTGTTACTTAACAGGTCCGTGAGACAGCTCTCCCAATTTTGGCACTAACCCCTAGATGTTAGTGAGGAGGACTTTGCAGGGTCAATAGAGCTTTTTCTGCCATTGTCTTTTCCAGTGACTAGGTCAATGCCAGGTGATCCATCCAGTTTCATTTCTTTGAGACTCTGCAGTGATAGGTACAAGTGAGTGACTTGCTAGTCCATTTCAGAGGGCAATTGAGACTCAAGCACATTGCTGTGGTTCTGGAATCACATGTAGACCAGACCAGGTGAGGGTGGCAGATTTCCTCCCTTGATGGGCATTAGTGAACCAGATGTTTTTTTTCTCCGACAATCGGCAATGATTTCATGGTGATCAGTAGATTCTTAATTCCAGGCTTTTTAAAAAAAATTATTGAATTCAAATTCCACCATCTGCCACGATGGGATTTGAGCCCAGGTCCCTGGAATATTAGCTGGGTTTCTGCATTAATAGTCTAGTGATAATGCCATTCGTCCATCACCTACCCAAGCCCAATTTTTAAGCCTCTTCACAAAAATCAACCAACATCCATACACCACTCGTTCAAAACCCAAACTCTGAAAATATTGCCCCTGGCTTTATATTTTCCATGCCATACCAGTAGGTTGTCTTATGGGGATTTAAATTAAATGTTCATCACCATACTGTGAAGGACTAAATTTCTGCCAGATGGTCAAGAACAGCCAGGGCAGTGTGGGGGAGTGGAGACATGAGCCACATAACCACATTGTTACACTGAAAGTAAATGCCTCAAATAATTCAAATAGCTGCCCGTTTGCATTTCAGTTTTAAATTAGAAGGGAAATAACAATGTAGTTATATAGGGCTACTTGCAATCATTTGCTGTTAGCAAAGACAGTAATATCTGGCAAAATGTACAGTGCCCTTGGAGGTCATGGAAAATATTGTTAGCTTAAAGGCTGTCAGTGCACGGCATGTAAAATCTGATCGTAAAATGTTTTGCATTGCTTTTCAATACTGCTAGTTTGTTGAGTGGCATGTCTCACCTTTCCTTGTCAACCAGTCTTAAAACTTCCTTCTTCTCACTATTTTCATTCAGAATGGTGAAAGCTATTTGTGAAGAAATTGCAACACACAAAGTAACAATGAGATCTGTATTATGTGGATATACCCAACAGGTATTAGTACAAGACATTTCATTTGTCCCTCATTGTTATAAAAACAGATTGAGAACTGGGTTAATGTTCTGAAGAACTGATGCCAATACATATTAAAATATTGATACATACAGGTTTCTGGAGTAAACCCTTTCTACTCCTCATCCCCGCATACTGGCTCACACATTCTTTTGACCATGAAGTATAGGAACAGCAGTGGGCCATTCAGCTCATTGAGTCTGCTCTGCTATACAATGTGTTATGCTCCTCTTGCTCAATGTGGGAGCTCAGGGACGCGGCTGATGTCCCTGACTCCTACACGTGCAGGAAGTGTGTCCAGCTGCAGCTCTTGTTAGACCGCATGACGGCTCTGGAGCTGCGGATGGACTCACTTTGGAGCATCCGCAATGCTGAGGAAGTCGTGGATACACGTTCAGCAAATTGGTCACACCGCAGATTAGGATTGCTGAGGGAGGAAGGGAATGAGTGACCAAAAGGCAGAGAAAAAGCAGGAAGGCAGTGCAGGTGTCCCCTGCAGTCATCTCCCTCCAAAACAGGTATACCGTTTTGGATACTGTTGTGGGAGATGGCTCACTAGGGGAAGGCAGCAGTAGCCAGGTTCATGGCACCGTGGCTGGCTCTGCTGTACAGAAGGGTGGGAAAAAGAGTGGAAGGGCTATAGTCATAGGGGATTCGATTGTAAGGGGAGTAGACAGGCGGTTCTGCGGTCGAAAACGAGACTCCTGAATGGTATGTTGCCTCCAAGCTGCACAGGTCAGGGATGTCTCAGATCGACTGCAGGACATTCTGAAGGGGGAGGGTGAACAGCCAGTTGTCGTGGTGCATACAGGCACCAATGATATAGGTAAAAAACGGGATGAGGTCCTACAAGCAGAATTTAGGGAGTTAGGAACCAAGTTAAAAAGTAGGACCTCAGAGGTAGTAATCTCAGAATTGCTACCAGTGCCACGTGCTAGTCAGAAGGGAAATGAAAGAATAGGCAGGATAAATGAGTGGCTTGAGAGATGGTGCAGGAGAGAGGGGTTCAGATTTTTGGGACATTGGGACCGGTTCTGGGGAGGTGGGACGATTACAAATCGGACGGTCTACACCTGGGCAGGACTGGAACCAATGTCCTCGGGGGTGCTTTTGCCAATGCTGTTGGGGAGGGTTTAAACTAATGTGGCAGGGGATGGGAACCAAATGAGGAGGTTAGTGGACAGTAAGGAGGTAGTATCTAAAGCCTGTAAGGAACTACATAATGAAGTCAGTGTGACAAAGGGGAAGAGTAGGCAGAGAGCAGATGATGAACGCAAAGGGACAGGTGGTCTGAGGTGCATTTGTTTTAAAGCGAGAAGTGTAGTAGGTAAGGCAGATGAACTTAGGGCTTGGATTAGTCCCTGGGAGTATGATGTTATTGCTATTACTGAGACTTGGTTGAGAGAAGAGCAAGATTGGCAAATGAAATATCCCAGAATATTGATGCTTCAGGTGGGACAGAGAGGGAGGTAAAAGGGGTGGAGGATTTGCATTACTGTGCTGAAGGAAGGCACTATGGAGGACTTGAGCAGTGAGGCAATATGGGCAGAGCTCAGAAATAGGAAGTGTGCAATGCTGGGGCTGTACTACAGGCCTCCCAACAGAGAGCGTGAGATATAGGCACAAATATGTAGGCAGATTATGGAAAGATGTAGGAGCAACAGGGTGGTGGTGATGGGAGATTTTAATTTTCCCAACATTGACTGGGATTCACTTAGTGTTAGGGGTTTAGATGGAGCAGAATTTGTATGGAGCATCCAGGAGGGTTTTCTGGAGCAGTATGTAAATAGTCCAACTCAGGAAGGGGCCATACTGGACCTGGTGTTGGGGAATGAGCCTGGCCAGGTGGTTGAAGTTTCAGCAGGGGATTACTTTGGGAATAGTGATCACAATTCCGTAAGTTTTAGAATACTGATGGACGAAGACGAGAGTGGTCCTAAAGGAAGAGTGCTGAATTGGGGGGAAGGCCAACTGAAGCAAAATTCGGCAGGAGCTGGGGAATGTGGATTGGGAGCAACTGTTTGAGGGTAAATCCACATTTGATATGTGGGAGGCTTTTAAAGTGAGGTTGATTACAGTGCAGGACAGACACGTCCCTTTGAAAATGAGGGATAGAAAGGGCAAGATTAGGGAACCATGGATGACACGTGAAATTGTGAGACTAGTAAAGTGGAAAAAGGAAGCATACATAAGGTCTAGGCAATTGAAAACGGATGAAGTTTTGGAATAATATTGGGAAAGTAGGACCAATCTGAAATGAGGAATTAACAGGGCTAAAAGGGGTCATGAAATATCTTTAGCAAACAGGGTTAAGCAAAATCCCAAAGCCTTTTATTCACACATAAGGAGCAAGAGGGTAACTAGAGAAAAGGTTGGCCCACTCAAGGACAAAGGTGGGAAGTTATGCGAGGAGTCAGAGAAAATGAGTGAGGTTCTTAATGAGTACTTTGCGTTGGTATTCACTGAGGAGAGGGACATGGCGGATGTTGAGATTAGGGATGGATGTTTGATTACTCTAGGTCAAGTCAGCATAAGGAGGGGGGCAAGTGTTGGGTATTCTAAAAGGCATTAGGGTGGACAAGTCCCCAGGTCTGGATGGGATCTATCCCAGGTTGCTGAAGGAAGGGAGAGAGGAAATAGCTGGGGCCTTAACAGATATCTTTGCAGCATCCTTCAGCACAGGTGAGGTCCCGGAGAACTGGAGAATTGCTAATGTTGTCCCCTTGTTTAAGAAGGGTAGCAAGGATAATCCAGGTAATTATAGACCGATGAGCCTGACGTCAGTGGTGGGGAAGCTGCTGGAGAAGATACTGAGGGATAGGATCTATTTTCATTTCGAAGAAAATGGGCTCATTAGTGATAGGCAGCATGGTTTTGTGCAGGGAAGGTCATGTCTTACCAACTTGATAGAATTCTTTGAGGAAGTGACAAAGTTGATAGATGAGGGAAGGGCTGTGGATGTCATATACATGGACTTCAGTAAGGCGTTTGATAAGGTTCCCCATGGTAGGCTGATGGAGAAAGTGAAGTGGCATGGGGTCCAGGGTATACTAGCTAGATGGATAGAGAACTGGCTGGGCAACAGGAGACAGAGAGTTGTAGTGGACGGGAGTTTCTCAAAATGGAGAACTGTGACCAGTGGTGTTCCACAGGGATCCGTGTTGGGACCACTGTTGTTTGTGATATACATAAATGATCTGGAGGAAGGTATAGATGGTCTGATTAGCAAGTGCAGATGACACTAAGATTGGTGGAGTAGCAGATAGTGAAGGGGACTGTTGGAGAATGCAGCAGAATATAGATAGATTGGAGAGTTGAGCGGAGAAATAGCAGATGGAGTTCAATCCAGGGAAATGCGAGGTGATGCATTTGGAAGATCCAATTCAAGAGCGAACTATACAGTAATTGGAAAAGCCCTGGGGAAAATTGATGCACAGAGAGATCTGGGTGTTCAGGTCCATTGTACCCTGAAGGTGGCAACGTAGATCGATAGAGTGGTCAAGAAGGCATATGGCATGCTTTCATTCATCGGACGGGGTATTGAGTACAAGAGTTGGCAGGCCATGTGACAGTTGTATAGGACTTTGGGTCGACCACATTTGGAATACTGCGTACAATTCTGGTCACCACATTACCAAAAGAATGTGGATGCTTTGGAGAGGGTGCAGAGGAGGTTCACCAGGATGTTGCCTGGTATGGAGGGCGCTAGCTATGAAGAGAGGTTGAGTAGATTAGGATTATTTACATTAGAAAGACGGAAGTTGAGGGGGGACCTGTTTGAGGTCTCCAAAATTATGACAGGTACAGACAGGGTGGATAGCAAGAAGCTTTTTTCCCAGAGTGGGGGACTCAATTACTAGGGATCACGATTTCAAGGTGAGAGAGGAAAAGTTTAAGGGAGATATGCGTGAAAAGTTCTTTACGCAGAGCGTGGTGGTTGCCTGTCACGCATTGCCAGCGGAGGTGGTAGAGGCAGGCACGATAGATCCTAAATGACACTATCTGGACAGATACATGAATGGGCAGGGAGCAGAAGGATGCAGATCCTTGGAAAATAGGCAAAAGGTTTAGATAGAGGATCTGGATCAGCGTGGGATTAGAGGGCCGAAGGGTCTGTTCAAGAAAAAGAAAAAAAAAACTCAAAAAAAACAATCAGACCATGGCTGGTCTGATAACCCTCAACTCCACTTTCTTGCCTTTTCTCCATAACCCTTGGTTCCCTTACTGATTAAAAATTTTCAGTCTCAATGTTGAATATATTTAATGACCCAGCCACGACAGTCCTCAATGTTAAAGATTCCACAGTTTCACAACCCTCTGACAAAAGACCTGCTCATCCCTGTCTCCGAATGTTCTGAGATTATTCCATCTGATCTTAGACTCTCCCAAAGAGGAAAATAACCTTTCCACATCTATCCTGTCAAAGCCCCTAAGAATCTTTCTGTTTCAATAAGGTGTTCTCTCATTCTCCTAAACTGCATTAAGTACATGCCCAACCTCATAAAATTCTCCTTCCATACCTGGTATCAGCCTCGTGACCCTCCTCCGGACTGCCTCCAATGCCAGCACATTATTCCTTAGATAAGGAATAATAAACTGGTCACAGTATCCAGCTGTATTTTAACTCCAGTCTTGTACTGTTTTAGTAAGTTCTCCCTATTTTTCTCCTTCAATCCCTTTGAAACAAAGACTAATATTCCTTTTGCTTTCTCTGTTCCCTGCTTACACACTAGCTTTTGTGATACATGCATGAGGACTCCCAAGTCCCTCTCACCTGCAGCCTTCTGCAGTCATTCAGAATTGTGATACATAGAAATTGACAGAATCAGAAAAGTTACAATTTCCAGAGCTATGCATGTAGATGTCATGCAGTGGGGGAACATACATTTGATCTAATTCCACTTATCTCTCTCAAGAGGGCGAGCTGGTGAAACGTGACCCATTATTGTTCAGAGGTACAGGGAAAGATTCTCTTGCACAGTACACTGTGGTCATGTTTTTTCATGTGTGATTGATAAAATAGTCTGACTTGGGGAGAGGATGCATGGTTTTTCCTTCCAAAGTGATTGACAGTCCACAGAGCTTCCAATTCTGAATGCAGAGCCATAGTATTCCCAGTGACTCAAAGGACTTCAAAAATAATAATACAGGCTTTTTACATAAATAAAATCCATCCTTTCAAAGGTTAATTGAGAATTGATAAAATACAAAATCTTTGTAATTATCTTTTTAGAACAAACGTAAGGCAAACCAAACACTGGAATCACAGTGTTAATGTCACTCACTCAGTTCTTGGAGTCTCTTGAGGTTGACAATCTCTTCCTCCAATCCACCCTCTTCTGAGTAGAATTTCAGGTTGGATTTGTTAAGTATGAACCAGCCTTCGTGCCATTGTCCAGGATTTCGCATGGATTTATAACATAGTTTTCCAATGCGATCAAAATGGCAATTCAACAAGCTATGCAGACTCAAACCAGTGAAGCCCTAAATCAGGGGAGACAAAGTCAACTTGAACAGTAATTTCCTTAATATCATTATATTTCTGGAAAACTTTACAGAGTCTTATACAGAAACAATGTTATAATTGCATGACATCATTCAGTAACACTAATTGATTGTTTTGAGTGGCAAAACTACAACTCTGACAACAAAAATAAACCATACTGGAAATATTACATCTATAAGTCAACAACTTAAAGAAAAATTGCAGATTATATTGGATTTCTTGATGGATCTATCAAGAGGGCTTCTCATCAAAAGAAAATCATGCAACCTTATGAATAATGTTAAGATACTTCTAAATTTTGGATAACATTGAAGGGTCATGGGCAATTAAATAAAAGGAAATACAAAGACAAAGGCAAATAAAACATGACACAAGCTGGCTCCAATCTGAAATCAAACAACTGGAAGACGATTGGACGCAACTGTCAGGAAAATATTATGTTTGGAAACGTAAAGTGCTTGCAGCCCAATATCTCTTGAGGAGATATTGAGGAATATTGTTGAGGAATCAATTACATCATCTAGGACTGGAGTGATATCTGGACCAGGCAAAATGAGACTTTTGACTGGATTTCATTGCTAATAGAACCCACCAAATCCCTATGGTGTAGAAACTGGCTATTCAGTCCATCAAGTCCACAACAATCCTCTGAAGAGCATCCTACCCATACTCATGCCCCTATTCTACATTTCGTATGGTTAACCCATTTAGCCTAGACACAATGGGCAATTTCCCATGGCCAATCCACTCTACCTGCACTGTTTAAGACTGTAGGAGGAAACCAGAGCATCCCCATACAGACACAGGGAGAATGTGCAAACTCCACACAGTCACCCAAGGGAGGAATTGAACCCAGGTCCCTGGCACTATGCAGTAGCAGTGCAAACCACTGAGCTACCATGTCACCCTATTCCCCAATGAAGTTCAGATAAATAATGTGGGAAAGTGACAGAGAGATAACATGGTTCTTACAGGATGTATAGTACGTTTCATAAGCATGAGGTACCTTTGCTACGGAACTGGTCCACATCTGTAGGCTGTCAGGATTATCCGTGCCAAACTGAAACAGCTTCTCTGAAGTGAGAAAAATTTCAAACGTGTATCGAAACCTAATGAAGATAGAAGAAAAAGACTGATTGATCGAGACTCCAGAACTTTCTCAAACTATTTAAAACAGAATCATGACCTGGAGAAGACATTGAGTAAAATACTGTGTTCTGGCATTTAAATAGTTAAGAGTGAGAAGAACAGGACTAGCTCATTTATGTCAAAAGTTAACAGCTCTGCTCATGGATACAGACAAAGAATGGATGCCCAACACACATGAAATTTCTATTTTTTAACATGGTGGAGCATCCTTGTTTTTAAAGGGATTGCCTTGGATAGTTTCATCGAAAACAGAAATAATAAGTGTCATTCCAATGTTGGTTACTCCAGTAATTTGACGAATAAAAACTCATCGTTGATGGTGGGCAAGTTCACTAGGGTACGCAATAAATGATGGGAAAGTTATTCATTAACTTATGACATATTAAGGCCAGGGTTGGTCAGGGTTAAGGAGCCCTTGAATTTGTCATTTTAGAATTTCTGTCCAACAAAGTAATTCTTTGGTCATGATGCACACGGCAATGTTTTGGATTATCTCAAGTTTTACAGAAAGTAGAATGTATATGACACAAGCCAGTACTGACATAAAAACAGAAATTGCTGGAAAAACTCAGCAAATCTAGCAGCAGCTGTAGAGAGAGAAACAAGTCAACGTTTCGAGTCCAGTGAAAAAGGTAACTGGATCCAAAGTGTTAACTCTGCATTCTCTCCACAGATGCTACTCGACCTGTTAAGTTTCTTCAGCTCTTTCTATTCTTATTCCAGATTTCCAGCATTCACAATTCCTAGTTTTTTGCCCATTATTGATATAGTTGTGGCTAGAATCTAAAGAAAGCATGAAAAAGAGTTTCAGCTGCTGAACGAGCTGCCAGTGCTGGAAGCTCACCTACAAGACACATTAAATACACACTGAGTCTGGAAGTGGCCAATTAGAAGGTTATCTTGGAGAAAGTCTGGATCGGTCTTGCAAATACCATTTGGAGGTTCAAGACCCCTTTTCATTCCAATCCCAAAGATCACAGTAAAAACAACAGCTATATGAAATGATGTGGCCAAGGGATATTGAACCCCAGCAAGGAACTTAGAAGTGATACTAGGCCCAGGAGATGCTGCAAAAGTGAACACATGGCTGATTATTCTCCTCAGGCTTACATTCCATTTCATGGGGATCAACCTTGTTTCAATGGCGTGTGCTGGAGGGCATGCCAGAAGCAGGCATACCTAAAAATGAGGTGTCAACCTGGTGAAGCTGCAGTGCAGAATGACTTGTTTGCCAAACAACTATGGCAAAGTACAGCAGAAGATGTTCAATGATTGCACAATCAACAGACCAGATCTAAGCTCTGTAGTACTACCACATCTAGTCATGAATGTGGTGAACAATTAAAGAACTCACTGGAGGAGGAGTCTCGACAAATATCCCAAACCTCATTGATGGGAGAGCCCAATGTATCAGTGTAAAAAATAAGGCTGAATCATTCAGAGCAATCTTCAATCAGAAGTGCCAGACATGTGAAGTGGATGTCTCTAAGATTATGACGACAAGTTGTTGATGTGGCCTTGATACTTTCTCAAGCTCTGCTCCATAATAGGCAGATTGGTGATAGATGAAGTTCAATGCAGAGAAGTGTGGGTGATGCACTTTAGTCAGAAGAACATTGAAAGACAATACAAAATAGGAGGTACAAGTCTAAAAAGGGCGAGGAGCAGAGGGATCTGGGTGTATGAGAGAGCAGTAAATAAAGCAGTGTCCTCAAGTTTTTTAGTAGGGCCATATGGTACAAGAGCGGGGAAGTGATGTTGAACTTGTATCAGATTCCTGTTAGACCTCAGCTGAAGGATTGTGTACAGCTATGGGCACTACATTACACAAAAGAAGTGAACAGGTTGCAGTGTGCAGAAGTGATTTACAAAATGAGTCAAGAATGAGAAATCTCTGTTATGAAGACAGATCGAAAAAATTGGGACAGTTCTCCTTGGTTGAGAGGCAATTTGACAGAGTCATGAGTGGGCTGGACAGAATAGATAAGGAGAAGCTGTTCCCACTTATAAATGGTACAAGAATGAGAGGACATAGAATTAAAGTGACATGCAAATAAAGCAAGGGGGATTTGAGGAAAAACATTTTCATTCAGCAAGTTCAACATCATTGCCCCGCTCTCATTTTCAAGATAGAAAACTGACGGCAGAGTTTAACCTGAAGGCCAACATACCTTGGACAAAGGCCAAGTCGAGGAAGGATCCTCATGGTGACCTCAGCAAGAGCAGGGATTGAACTTAGGCTGATAGATATCACTCTACATGACATGTTAGTCATACAGCCAACTGAACTAACCGCTCAACAGGTATGGCAAGAGTATAGAACGTATTGCCCAGAAATGTATTGGAGACGGGTTCAATTGAGAAATTCAAAAGGGCATTGAATGGTTTAGGGTCAGTGTGGAAATAAAAAAAAGTAAAGAATTCTGTGATTCCACGATGAACAACTTCAGTGGACAGCTTCAGTTCTTCACTTTGTTAACAATTTGCGGCCCCCTACTTCACAACTTCCCCTCCCCCATGCCAGCCATGTCTTGTTGACTTTGCTCTGAACAGACTGAACCTACTTTCTCCTTTTCACGCTAACATCTACACATATTTTAAAGCAATATCTCTCTTTCATCACCATTATCATCACCTTTGCCTCTCTGTGGACACCCTCATGATCTGTTCCACTTGGTCTTCCTGTCAGTCTGTGAACAGCATAAAAAACACCATATGGCTCCAGTTCCAGGTCATACCGGACTCGAAACATGAAGTTGGTTTCTCATTCCTCAGATGCTGCAAGACCATAGAACCACAGAAATGATACATCACAGAAGTGGGCCATTTGGCCCTTCTTGTCTTGCAGTCTCAAAAACTCCCAAAGACACTTTCTAAGCAGCAAGTACTGGAACACAAGTGTTCAGTACTATTGCCAGAATGTTATCAGGGCCCATAACCTTTGCAATAGCCAGTGCCTCCAATCATTTCTTGATAACATGTGGAGTCAATCAAATTGGCTGAAGACTGGTATCTGTGATGCTGAGAACATCGGGAGGGCTGGTAAAGAACAGATGCCAGGAACTGCCCCACATGGAGGTGCCATTGAAGGGAAAGAAACCAAAAGATCTGCAAATGCTGTAAATCAGGAACAAAAACAGAAGTTGCTGGAAAAGCTCAGCAGGTCTGGTAGCATCTGTGAAGAAAATATCAAATTAACGTTTTAAGGTTCTGAGGAAGGGTCACCGGACTCAAAACGTTAACTCCGATTTTTTTTTCTTCACAGGTGCTTCCAGACCTGCTAAGCTTTTCCAGCAGCTTCTGTTTTTGTGCCATTGAAGGGTATGTGAATAACAGTTCTGATATGCTGAGGTAAAGGCAAAGGCAAAGGCAAAGTCCTCTGGGTAAAGGGGACAATGGGGTAAAGGAGCAGGGTATGGTGTCTGAACCACATGAATGACTTTCCTTCATGTGGTTCTTTCAATAAGATATTGAGCCTGTGGAAAGTATGTACTATTAGTCTGGCAATCATCTACACTGGTAAAGATAGAAGCACTCTGCCATGCCCAAAATCACAGCAGCCCAGTAGTTGACCCTAATTGAGATATTAAATATTTAAAGTGACTGTCCCCCTTTGTGGTATGTGCCACCAAACTCAAGTCACTACTGGAAAACTTCCCTGATGGTTTGACAATACCAAAGAGCTGTACATTTCCGGCTAGTTTCTTACCTCTACACCTCTGCTCCTGCCACCATGGAACTGGTAAAATTCTACTCACAGTGTCATGAGTTCATTATGATACAGATGAGGTTAGGGTTAGGGGTACCCCTGTCTTATTGCCCTCATAACTCAGTAGCTCGATAAACTGCACAATTGTCTTATGAGGGTAATCAGACGGGGCCAGGGAATAATGCAGACTTGGCCAGATCACCTACATCCTGCCAATTAATATAGATTTTAAAAAGTCCACTCCATGTACTGGTGGATACACTCAAAGTTAAATATTCAGCAGATCTGAAGGAATAAGAAACTAAATTAGATTAACAACATCATTTGCATAATTGACTATACCTTTTAACTGACAAAACTGACTGCGCATTTTAAAACATTACAGGAAAATCATACTATTGATGTCTGTGTTCTCTCCATTTTTACAGTGTCTACATGCTCCTCAACCAACTGTTACAAAAAAACTGTTTAATTCCCCAGTACCTGTCTGTAGGACCAGAGTTGGCCAACGATTGTGGTCTGCTCACTCCAATACAAACAATGTCATTCATTTCAATTTTCCCAATTGGTTCAGTACTTTTATCTGTTTCATAGAAAAGAAGCGACCTGTCCAAAGAGCACCACTGCTTCTGGAACTCTGAGGGAAAACATGCACATGGTCAATTTGAAATTTAATATTTGCAATAAGAGGCCTTTTCATTCAAACAATAATTTGTTTCCATGAGTAACAATGGGGCTCATTATAGGTAAGAGACTGTTTTTTCACCTCTGGGGTATGGGTTTAAATTGTACCCAGACTGAGAACTGTGAGTATTCTTCATGATTGTAAAAGGCCAATGTCAAACATGTTTGAACAAGCTTAACCCAGAATGTAATGAGCTCGGATCTAGAGCTTTCAGTCACTTATTTGAGAGCAATTGCAAATCTTGCTGGTATGTGGTGTGTTAATATCTTTCAGGGATTGTTAAGATTATTCAACCATGATTAAGGAACAATATTTTCATATGTATGTATAAACATTTAGCTGGAGTGTGATATCACTCACTGATGTCCAGGGAAACATAATAAGTAATGAAAGCTCTACTGTTGAGATATTTTCCTAATCAACCTGTTTGGAGAAATTATGACACACCTCCAGAACTGCTGGGACTTGAACCTGAAATCTTCCCAGTCAGAGGGAGGGACAATACCACTGTACCTCAAGAACCCAAGTTCCCATGTTGACTGAAAATGTGATTATTTCAGCTGGGAACCACAAGGTATTACAGCTTGGAACCTGCCATTCTTAACACCGTCCAGTTAGTGAATTCAGTTTTCACAATAATTGTTAATTCTTAATTCTCTCAAAGTAACTAAGAATGGATGATAAAAATGGCCATGCTAACACCACCCATATCCTAACATTAAATATTTGAAATAAGTTTGCTGTCCTGATTTCTCTCATCATAATCAGGTTCCAGAAAACACTTCAACTATGAGAACATTCTGCGGCCAGTGTTACAGGATATCTATGACGTACCATCTTTGCATTTCTTGCTGCTGGGTAGTTTTGTCATGGCTGATGTCTTGTACAGGTATCCACAATGCAATACAGGTTGCGTAATTTCACTGTAAATGCCCATTGAAACCAAGGAGTTGGAATTTAAAACTTCTGCAGACAGGAGGCAAAAATCATGTTAACATCAACTTAGTTCAATGTTTCATCAGTTAGAGCCTCATAATCATGGGTAAATAAACCAGGACTCAGTCACTGAGTCATTTGGGTGTGAAAGCACTACCTGGAAATGTAATGGAGGCAGGTCTAATTGAGACATTCATGAGGGTACTGGATGATTATTTGGATGGAAATGGTGTGCAGGAATATAGGGAAAAGGCAGGAGATTGCCATTACATGATAGCATTGGTGCTGGTATGATGGACCAAATGGTATCCTTCTACGCTGTAAACATTCTGATTGTGTGAAGTTATATACGGCATTTAACATGGGAAAATATCCCAAGATGCTGCACAGGAGCGTTATTAGTTAGTAAACTTCCATGGATTTCATCTTCATGAGTTATGTTTCAGAGCCTTGGAAGGCAAGCATTAAGGTTAGAATTTCTGTGCATTGTATAATGTTCAAAAGCTCCTTCTTTTGAAAGAGTGTGCTTTGAATAATTTGATGAAACACAGAAAAAGATGATGTTTTCCAAAGCTGGCTACTTTGATAAAATGGTAAGTAAAAGGGGTTAGATGGTTTAGCAGCTGTTACGATCTGAAGCCAGATTACCAGATTTGTGTCACATTCTGGTTAGGGACCAATAATTTAGTAAACTGGACAGAATGAGTGGTCCAGACACTCACAAGGAGAATGAAGCTACAGGATTCTAAGGTTTTGACCAAAGAACAATACCATGCAAAGTTAGAAGAGTAACACAATCTGCTACCTAAACTTATATGGTAGCATCCAATTGGAATTAACCTGAGGTAAATACATGTTGACATAAGCCCAATAGAGCCCAACAAATGGCAAATACAGTTTGGACAGATCCCACCCATTTCTCAGCAATGTCAAGATGTTAGTGACGCTGTGGATCACAAAATCTTATTAAAAATCGATAAGGGATTACAATTCTTAAATTTTGATGATCTGGCCTTGAAACTCTCTCAAGCACTGCTCCATAATGGATTGAAAGTCACCATAATCTTAGAAACAGTTGATGGTGAATTTCATCTCAGTGTCATGATACCTCAGACAAGGCATAGCCCTAGTCATCACAGCAAGTACAGGAATGAAGCCTTCAAGGTCTACAAGAGGCCCAGAGTTTTCTAGTTCTGACTCCATTTCTGGAAACGAGCAAGGTGCCATGTTGGCGCAGGCTCTGTATGTACCAGGACATGATAATGGAACTGTGTCGGATGCTGGGTTGGAACCTGGGGGCTTCAGGAGCGGGAGGCCATCCTCTCCCAGTGAATGTGTAGCTGACAGCAGCACTCAACCTCTACGTGATTGGCTCCTTCAATGGAGAGATGGGTGACCTGTGTAGGATTTGTCAATCGTGTTTCCACAAATGCAGCAGGGCATGAACAATGTCATCTGTAGAGGATCAGATTTGTTCCTTATATTTCCACACAACGAAGCCAGCGTTACAGCCCGAGCAGGAGGATTCCGGAGCAGAGACGGCTTCGCCCAGGGGCAGGATGCTATCGAACTGTCCACAGGTGGGATTGAGGAGGCTGCATCACAACACTGTAGAATTTGGCAGCAGGAAGTGATCTACCCTGACAGCTGCCAGGACTCCTAAATCCTGGAGCACTGTTGTATATCTGGTGAGTATGAAGGCCTGGGTACTTTACAAGGCTGGTTATGGGGAAGGGTCTATCACTGCACACACCACTGGCTATGCAGAGCACAGGTACAATGCTGCCATGCTGTGACCAGGACCGTGGTGGAGCAGACGATGGGGCTGCTGAAGCTATGGTTCCACTGCTTGGATTGGTCTCCAGGGTGGAGGAGGATCCCTCCAGTGCAATAATAAAGTCATAGAGTATTACAGCATGAAAACAGACCCTTCAGTCTAAACTGGTCCATGCTGACCATGGGGCCCTCTCAACTCGTGCCAATTGCCCACATTTGGTCCATATCCCTCTGAACCCTTCATATCCATGTATCTATGCAAATGGTTTTTAAATGTTGCTATTGTACCTGCCTCAACTACTTTCTCCAGCAGGCCATTCCATACACACACCACTCTCTGCGTGAAGAAGTTGGCCCTCAGGTCCTTCTTAAATCTATCTCCCCTCACGTTAAACCTCTGCCCTCTAGTTTTTAATTCCCCATCCCTGGGAAAAAGACTATTTGCACTTCATCTTATCTATGTCCCTCATGATTTTATACACCTCAATAAGGTCACCCCTCATTCTCCTACATTCCAAGGAATTAACTCCTATCCTGGCCATACTCCCCCTATAACTCAGGCTTACTAGTCCTGGCAACATCGTCGTAAATCTTCTTTGTACACTTTCCAGTTTAACTGTGTCTTTCCTATAACAGGGCGACCAAATCTGCACACAATACTCCAAGTGTGGCCTCAGCAACAACTTCTACAACTGTAACGTAATGTCCAACTCCTAAACTCAGTGCTTCAACCGATGAAGGCCAGCATACTAAACACCTTCTTCACCACCCTGTCTACCTGTGAGGCTGCTTTCAATGAACTATGTGCTTGTACTTCTAGGACGCTCTGTTCCACAATACTCCACAGGACCTTACCATTTACTGTATAAGTCCTACTTTAAGTTGACTTTCCAAAGTGCAAAACCTCACACTTATCTGTATTGAATTGCATTTTTCAATCTTCAGCCCATTTCCCCATCTGATCAATATCCCTCTGTAATTTTTGATAACCTTCCTCGCTATCAACGATACCTCCTAATTTTGTATCATCCACAAACTTACAAATCCTGCCTTGTACATTCACATCCAGATCATTTATGTAAATAATAAATAACAAGGGTCCCAGCACCAACCCTTGTGGCACACCACTAGTCACAGGCTCCAGTCCGAGAAACAACCTTCAACCATCACTCAGAGATAGTAAGAACTGTCGATGCTGGAGTCAGAGATAACACAGTGTGGAGCTGGAGGCTCACAGCAGGCCAGGTATTCTCAGAGGAGCAGGAAAGCTGACATTTCGGGTCGGGACCCTTCTTCAGAAATGGGGAAGGGGGAAGGGAGCTCTGAAATAAATAGAGAGAGGAGGGATGGGGCTGGGGAAGGTAGGTGGGATGGTGATAGGTGGGTGCAGGTAGGCAGTGGTGGGGATTGGTCAGTGAGGTGGGAGGCGTGGATAGGTGGGAGAGAGGGCGGACAAGTCAAGGAGACGGGGATGAGTGGGAGGGATGGTCATGGGATGAGGCCTAGGGTGGAGAGATTTTGAAACAAATAAAGTCCACAGTGTGACCATTGGGCTGTAGGTTCCCAAGGCGGAATATGAAGCGCTGCTCCTCCAGTTTCCGGGTAGCATCGTTGTGACACTGGCCCATCCTGGACCTCCTCTACTGTCACAACGACATCACCTGGAAACTGGACTCACCTATCACCATCCCACCTACTTTCCCCAGCCCCATCCCTGCTCTCTCTATTTATCTCAGAGCTCCCTTCCCCCTCCCCTATTTCTGAAGAAGAGTCCCGATCAGAAGCATCAGTTTTCCTGCTCGTCTGATGCTGCCTGGCCTGCTGTGTTCCTCCAGCTCCACACTGTATTATCTCTGACTCCAGCATCGGCAGTTCTTACTATCTCTGAGTGATGGTTGAAGGTTGTTTCTCGGACTGGAGGCCTGTGACTAGTGGTGTGCCACAGGGGTTGGTGCTGGGACCTGTGTTATCTTCAACCATCACCCTCTGCTTCCTGTCATTGAGACAATTTTGAATCCAAATAGCTAGCTCTTCCTGGATCTCATGTGACTTAACCATCATGACTAGCCTGCTGTTCAGACAGAGTATGCCAAATTATCCTGGCTTGTTGTGTTCTGCATAATTAGACCAGGCAATGGGGTGATGCCATTAACAAGGCATTTAGCAATCACTACATCCCCTCGACTGGCAACTGGACACTGTCCTGTGATTAGCTTGCTGTTTGTGAAAAGCGTAAGAGATGGAGCAAAGTATTCCTCATGTTGAGGTGAATGTCCAATTCTGCCACAAATCTCCCCATCATCCCCATCACGTAGATCTCAAAAGATTCCACTGATATCATCATCCTGTTGCAGGACCAAAATTGTGGAACCCTTCCTTAACATCATTCTAGGTGTCCATATGTTATTTGGACTGCAGCAGTTCAAGAAGGCAGCTTACCACCACCTCCTCAAGGGCAATTAGAATCATAGAATCCCTCCAGTGTGGAAGCAGTCTACTTGGCCCACACTGTCCACATTGGCCCTTTGAAGAGCATCCCACACAGAACAACCCTGTCGCTGTAACCCTGCATTTCCTATGGCTAAACTACCAGGCCGCACATCCTTGGATACTATAGATAATTCAGCATGGCCAGTCCACATAACCTACACAGCTTTGGTGGTGCTCACATTCACAAAAGGATAAAGAAGATGCCTGGATGTCCCAGAGTTTGAACAACTCCGCATTTAATTTTGGTGTCAAAGCCTGGGTGAGTCATCAAACAATTCTGTTAACCCTGTAACATTACATCCTTATCAGTAAGCTGATACAACTGAACGGAAACACTTTTCTTTTCAATTATTAGTCACCAATTAATTCTCAGTTAGCTGAATCAGTTTTATCTTCTTGCTTAATATTTATGTTGCTTTTACTATTGTGGGTCAACCTACAACAGGTGGACCGCAGCGGTTCAAGAAGGCAACTCACCAACACTTCTCGAGGGCAGCTAGGGATGGGCAGGAAATGCTGGCCCAGCCAGAGATGCCCACATCCCACAAAATGAATAATGAAAAACTAAAGTACATTCTAAGGAGAGATAGTAGGAACTGCAGATGCTGGAGAATCCGAGTCAACAAGGTGCAGGGCTGGATGAACACAGCAGGCCAAGCAGCATCATAGGAGCAGAGAGGCTGACGTTTCGGGCCTAGACCCTTCTGATGAAGGGTCTAGGCCCGAAA